CCCCAAAACCCCAAAACCCCAAAACCCCTCATCTCAAAAACCACATTGAAAACTCCATTCAAATATTCCTAATCCCTTCTTCCCAAAAAACTCAATCCTAATTTCATCTACCAGACAAGCCTGAGCTGGCAGCCAGGCTGGCTGCCAGCTTGGAGCTTCTATTGAGTCGGAAATTTATGTAGGAATTTTTATCGAAGAACGTTTTATGCGTATTTTATAAAAAGCCGTGCTGAGATTTAGAACTGAGCAAGGCAAAGCTAAGCCCTGGAAGGCTTAATGCAGGCACTTAGAAGTAGCTTGCTTAGGATCCTGATTTTTCTTTCTTATTGAAGGGAACTTCAAAGATGGATTCATCTGACTTGGAGATTTCATAAACTAAAGAGTTAGAATAAGAAATATCGTACTTTATTAATGGTTGTCTCTCTCATCCGATCAACACTGCTGTGGGCTTTCATAATTTTGCTTAATCTCAATCTGTGAAGAGGCTCTGATGTTTCTTGAAAAATTGTGTTCCGGAATCCTATTCAGAATTAAGTGAGGTCCATGGTAAAAACAATTTAAGTGACGCATTTCGGTTATGAAAGACTTAAGAATTATTGCTAAAAACTAAAGCTACTATTTCTACTTTAAAACTTAGCGGAGTTTATAAGGAGAAGCTCTCGAAATTGTTCTGGAGTACTCTTGGGAGCCTATCGAAATAGTCGAGAATAGGCTGGAGATAGTATTCCCGAATTGTTTCATCTTTATTTCAGAAATAATATAGTATTTGAATCAAAATTTAAGGCTTTGGTAAACTAGGTTTTATTATAAGCTAAGCATGAAGGGGATCACTAAATGTTCGTTTTAAATGAGGATATAATAAATTATATCGTGCAATTGTCTTGATATGTATCGTCGACGATATATAAGCAACTCTCAGATTTTGAGATACCAAAGATGCCGGAAACTCAACTAAATTGAATAATTCTTTACTGTCAAATATGAAGTTGGAGAAGAGATAAGAGCGTTTTTATTAATGAAGGACGTTCATTGGATTTTGAAAAGACCTGAAGGATTAAAATGAAAAGAACCCTTACTAATTTCTAACATTAGGCTAGTTTATAATAACTATGTTTGGGAAGAATTTGGATAATGAGAGGAAGGAAAGGAGATTTTAGGCAGAAAAAGAGGGGTTGTGAGGATTTTGAAGGGAGGATAGAGGTGCGGGGGTGATGGAGGAAGGAGAGTTTAGAGTGGATGGGGGTATTTAAGTAGGATTTAGGAGGGGGTGAAGTGAGCAAGGACTGTATTAAGAAGGCTTGGGTTAGAGGAGGTGTGGTGGTTCGAAAGATATAGGTTTAAAGGAAATTTTGGTCATGTTGTGTATTGGGAACGTTATTTAAAGACATTCATAAACGACCATTTTTATATTATTGCTGAAATTTTGGCAAATTTACGTTATCATGAAATTGGGTTTTACACCTACCTGTGGCTTTATTCTCTGGTGTAGGGCAATCGGTATAGCTCTTAAGCGACTCATTGATCTCCTTTAGAGCAGAAACATGATCGTGAGAGATGAACCTCTCGAAGCTAGCGTTGACTCCGGTATTTCTGCTATGGCCTTTAATTGTGCTGTTAGCATTCCTCGATAAGTTTAGTTTTATAGGGGTTGATCTTCAAGCTTTCTTTTTAACAAGTAGGCTCAGGGATAACTTTACCCTTCGTTTCTTATCTAAACAAAGAATCAGAAAAATGTTGCGAAACAAAATTTTTACAAAAAAGAAAAGAGACTTACGAGGAAATTTTGGAGTTTCTCTGGACAAGCTTCTTGAAATTTTTACTCTCTCCTTTAAATTTTTCTTGAACTTGATACCTCTCAGTAACTTCTTACGCAGTTTTATATTTCCAGATTGGGTATTTCTTTCTTGATTCTTAGCGGAAATTGCAGTTAAGAGTAATGTAGAAGAGGGGGACTCAGAGTGTTTAGAATTCATTAACATTTAATAATTATTTCAATTAATAAACTCTTTTATGGGGTTTTGGGGTTTTGGGGTTTTGGGGTTTTGGGG